CGCCTAGCTCCTACATGAGTATCGTTATAAAGTAGTAATAAAATGATCTTATAGTCATCGTGTGTGTGGGGATGGTGATTTTTTTTTTAATTGCAGTGTATCAAATTTTATAAAAAAAATCGACAAAAACAAGATTTTATATTAAATGTAAATCGTTCACGTCCTCAAAATTAATTTTACTGGTTCTCATATAGCACACACCACTGCACTGTCGGTTAAGACCAATAGAAAATATGATCAACAAAATACATCCAGAAGAGGTACACGATTTATGTCGAACCAATAAATTATGACAGTTGTATAAGGTTTTTACAAAATTAACGAACATTTCCACGAATTGCAACCATTTTTTTTTTTTTGATCAAGACTTATTGTCTGTCTTGTTTGAACATATTTATTTAGATGGTAGGTATTGATTAGGGATTTACACTTGATAAATTCCTAGTCATATATTGTATATAGGTATTTCGAGTTTCTATAGCACAAGAAAATAAATTACACAATATTATAGTCTCTCACTTGGAACGTGCACAAAAGATAAACCATCACTGCGATCATAGAATATTGTGATTATGTGCGTACTTATGTGATTATTTATTGTTGTTACTTTTATTGTTATTGTTTCGAAGCGGTGTCGACTGCTACTACGTTAATTTTTTTCAACTTTCTTGCACCTGCTTGCATTCAGAACACGCATTACTGCAATTATATATACATATACTATATACATACACTACTATGAGGTACATATAGGTTAGGTACATACAGGTGACTTCCCGTGCGCGGTCGAAACGGAGCGTAAAAAAGAAGAAAATAATAACAATATAATTCTATTAAGAATATTGTTATGCGACTATATTATTATTGTGAGTGGTTTTTCCTCGTCGCCGTTTCCGACGCGCAACACTGACATTTCCACGATGATTGGCGGTCGCGCTCCCGTGTTTAATCTCTTTTTAATGATTTTCGTTTCGGAGCAGTACACAGAATTATCGTGGAAACCATCACCCGGCGCTCACGGAGTCCTAACCCGACTGACAGTCAACTAGGCGCATTACCTGCAATATACTTAAGTATATTATATGCCATATTAAAAAAAAAAAATAATAATAAAGACGTGGTATCTATTACGTATATACTATTGTAGCATCAGCTGCGGTGGTCGCTGACGCGATGAAAGCAAAATGATAAAAAAGATGTGACTTTTCATCCCAATCGAATTAATTTTAAAACTATAAGCTACAGTATGTTGATGGGTAAACAGTGTATACATTTAACAATACTTCTTAATTTATAGAAATCGGTAGCTGTATACAGTGGCGGCATACGAGGCCAAGTTTGGTCTCACTGTGAATTCGATACACGCGTCACTGTAAACGATACGGTCTCCGTAGGTATTAAATATTCGATTTCTACCATTTAAGTACGTTATGTCTTATGACCACAAAACATGTCGTTATCACATTAGTGACTCACTACAAGTGCGTAGATTTTCCTTAAAAATCCCAACCAACAAACCGTGCACAGTGCACACAGTATAGAGTTCGTGTGGATACCATCTACTACCACACCTTATATTTCAGGTTCCACTGGAAACAGAGAAGCGAAGACAAACTATATCATCATACGAAAACAAATAAAGAATATTGAAAGAAAACCCCAAAACTAAAAACTACAAGCATATTAACCTCATTTTAAAGGAACACGCAACTAAAAATATAAAATTTAATCTAAAACCAGCCACATGTGCAGACAACAGGCGTATAAAAACTGCAGCAAAGCGAAAGAGATTATAAATTGTGACATTCCAGTGTCTTATACATAGTTGATAAATATACAATTGTTTAGATATAGGCTTTTTTATACACAGTTCAAACAAAACTATCGTAGCATGTTGATGAATATCGACCTCTGCAGACGTTGTTCTGTAACGATATATTATATTACGATAAAATATTGTGTGCAGTTGTATTTCAAAGCGCATATAATATGTGGGCATATGGCACATGGCCCTACACAGCTCCGGTCCCGAAAACGTCTAAGAGGGTTAAACAGGTCGAGTGTACGATCCTAATGGACGAACCCATATTATAGATGTATCTATTATACAGCGAGTACCCACTGCAGGGTTAAAAGACGATAACGGAAAGCCTGTGAAACAATCATCGTCCCATCAGGACGTAGATATATATATATATATATATTTAATGACATATTTAGCGACGGGTAACCTTTTAGACCGACCCACAACATTTTGATATAAACTAACTTATATCTATAGAAGACTCCATGTATGTGCAGCATCATTAAACTATTAAAACGTTATTATCAAACAGTATGGTGTCTATGGTTTATGATTTTTTTCTGACGCCTGCGACGGATAAACGAGCACGTGGTCAAAACACATTATTTCATAAACAGCGACTGGCTTTTGAGAGTTGAACGGACCTGTGGTAAACCGCATTAGCTAGAGTACGTGTATACATAGGTGATAACTGATAAGTATACAAGTTATTATAAGCGTATGCACAAAAATATATAATAATATAATATAAATGTCAAGTGTAGGTGTTGTGTTACGATATTATTGAAGCAGATACGTCATTTACGGGACGAAAGGATTGGTCAATTTATTGATGGTAAATATCTTGTCATTTTCTTATCGTTTGTATTTGATTTTGATATTCCATCAAAAATATTTAATGCGTTTTTGTTCTAGCCTTACACGTGTATTCTGTAAGCCTATTTTATTATATTTTAGGTAATGGATAAATCACACCACCAGACTCCCGTTTTATTCCTTATATTCTTATAGTAATCGCAAATCATCGTGTTGCTTTCCATAGAAATTGATAGACTGGAATTTATGTTATTGATGCGAGTGTTTGTTTTTTAACATCAATTCTAAAAATGCAAACTACAATAGTTGTGTGATGGCTCCAAGCAAAAATGTTTACAGTTTTGGTTTAAATTTTCGACCGCAAAATTTAGTAAAATACCCCTGCATTGTCTGGTTGCACTGTTGTAGGTACCTATGTATTGTGTTCGGAGGACCGGGCCCTGTCCAAACCGTCTTGAATATTAAATAATAATAATTGAAAAATCGAAAATAATATAATATGCACGCAGGGCTCACGCTCGTCAATCGCGAACCGCGGTGTGTCTCGTGTGTTGTCGGGACTATATTATTATTATTACTCTATATTTATATGGGAAACAATCCCGGGGAAAATAAGGGAAGTCAATAACTTCGACAATACATAGTATTACCTACTATAACGATCCGACGTGAATGGCACCACACAATGTACACGATCGTGTGTCTGTCGTTATACAGCTCGAGGGGAAACACGCAATGGTTTTGTTTTTTTTTTTCCCCAAATAATATTATTTTCGTTGTTCGTCGAAGAAATTATACCGCGTTCGCGCGTTAGGTTTTGACTGCAGACTTTAATAATTGATACATATATATATATACACATACATACGTACATATTATAACGTACTCACGAGAGAATACACCAGTGTGACGTTATCGGTAGGTAAATTATATACATTATACATATATACGATACAATTGTGACAGCAATAAAAACGAAAAGAAAAGGCGGCGTACCTACCTAGCATATAAATATTATAATGTGGCATAAAAAGCGCCGATGTACTCTGATAATAGTAATAAACTAATAACAAAACACCACAACCCAACGCAAACGCGGTCGGGTTAAATTCGGCGGACACGACCGGGCGGGGCTTTTCCGATTTTACCCACCACTGCGCCACTTGCACTGCGAGTGGAGTATTTAATATACACGCACAAGTTCCTACCTAAATTCATATATACACGTATTTATTAACGCGCTACACCTCAAAGCGAATGTATATGTGTGTGTGTGTGTGTGTGTGTGTGTGTGTACCTGGTGAACAGTTCAACGCGTATATAATAATAACATGTAATATGTATATATAGGTGTAAACGGAATCGCGTGTAAAATTCATCGCGGCGATACCGTGCCCTGTAATTTTGTGGCACGACTGGAAACCCGATTCTATATACATCACCCGTGCGTAAATTTGCCATATAACAACGTGTCAAAATGATAGGTTTTAAGGGGACCGTATATTATATGCGTAAATGTGTGTGTGTGTGTGTGTGTGTGTGTGTGTGTGTGTGTGTGTTACTTTTTCTTTTCTTTTGTGACCGGCTCTTTTCCGCCGCCGGTGGTTATATATCGAGTAGGAGGTGTCGAAACATAAAAAAAACAATATTATACCCATACGGAGAAAATAACAGTTTCAGTACCTATTTATATATTATATATATACATGTAATATAATGGTATGAAACAAAAACGCGATGTTGTAAGCGCGAGAAATAATTATCGTTTTTTTTTATTTTATTTTTTAACAACGAAATATTTTGCACGGCGACGCTCGTTATCTACACCTTATAATATATATTTAAATATGCGTTACATATATATATATTATACAGAGTTATGTAATTGTACATTTTACGGAATGTACAACATTATATTTTGTACTGAGTCCAACTACATACTATTGCAGTTCATCTAATACCAAGTAGAATGAATATTTTAGTAGTCTGTATAAGTATTTAAATATTTGGCTTTGTACTTATACAAAAATTCGGTGTTTTAAGTGTTATTTCCGTGAAAGAGTCAGGGCACACTATTGATAAGTAATCACTACCTTTGTTTGCTAAGTATATCGAAGTTGCTACAAAAATTAAAAATATTTCGCATTGGATGCTGATTTTTTATTTTTAGATGGAGATTGATGTGAAAAAAATTAAGGTTTCAAAACTAGTAGACGTGATATTCGTATAATACGGACTTTGTGTAAAAAAATACGTTATATTTGTTGCACAAATTAGTGTAGGTATAACATAGTTCCAATATTTTTAACCCCGTGACCTGTACTTTCTTCACTATCGTAATAAATTGTAGACAATTGTGCATTAAAAATCGACCACTCACCTTTCGAGTTCTCCTAGTCTCGAAGAATCACGGAATCCTTTGGCGAATGGGTTGCTATCAATTTTCAATTTCGTGATCTGTAATGGAAAAAAAAACATCAAAAACCTTCGTCATTATGTACATTAATAATAATGATAATATGGGCTTTGGTATTTAATACGATAACTGTTGAAATGGCTAGTAACTCGATAAAACGACTTGAAACGATAAGATAGACAGTATTTATTTGACCAAAACTAGAAACAGGACGATCTGAGAATCAGTGTCGAATGTCGATCACCATTTTACAACTCCAACCCCATTGTTTGAAACTTGTTATTGTGTGACTAGAAAGGAGGGAGGGTGAAAACCTCTATAAAGCTATAACTAACTATAAAGCTTCTTTATACTATCTAAATAGATATATAGGTTTATAGGTCATTCTATATTTGTTTGTAGTTTTTCTTCAGACTTTGAATGCCGATGTACTTGCTGGGATACACGATACAACAGTGTGCTGGAAACAATTTCGAAATTAAAAAAAAGTTGGATCATTTAGTAGGTAGTTTGATATAAATGTTTAATATTCAATGATATTCCAGAGAATATAGATTGCATCGATCAACAAAGCAAAAGTTTGTAATTAGAATGCACTCATTATAGACGATTAAAAAGTTGGGTTTATTTTAATTTTAAAAATTGTAGCAGTTTCTCACTACGACTGAAATATTGTTTGCAAGTGAAATGTTGGACATCATTATATAGGTATTTAGTATTTACTATTTACAAGTATTTTATAGATATTCTGGGAAAGGAGCAAAGCGAGTTTGAATGTTTTAGAATTTTTTACTGCGGTTTTTATATTCTTCGTCAGTATATAATAATAGTAGCTCATGTCGAACAATTTTTTAACTGTTTAATACTGAATTTTTCTTTACGATTTTAGCCTGCAGACGTGTAATTGTTGTTTTCAATTGAAATGTTTAGCAATTCTTGTTTAAATAGAGTTAACATTTATTAGTTATGAGTTATGACTACATAATATTATGTTTATATGATGACCGAGGTACCGAAGACATAAAATGTGTAATTAAAATTGAAGCGTGATAAAAAAATACAATCAGACATGACTTTAAATACTCTGTATACTGTATAGGATGTGAACAGTGTGCGTGCAATCTGCGAGCAATCTAAGATGACGCTGCAACCAAGCTTTGAAATGAAAGAGTTTGGGTTTGGCGTTTACAAAAAAAAGCGGAACTAAAGTCACGCCGTGATGGCGGTGGTATTATCACGTTTGAAATTTAATTCGAGTGGAGAGAATAATAATATTATAACTACAAAAGCATACAACAAACGTGGTAGGTTATGTGTGGTATATAAACCCGCGTAACCACATATATGTAATATGTAAACGTCACACACGCGACACAGGACTCGACATCGACGCGCGCCGGGGGAAATAAATTACGCGTAGAGTGAAAAGGAACTGAGTTGGAAAAAAAACGATTTTTGTCAGGTGAACGGCTACCGCGGTACCCACACCAATACGCGTGTATAAAATAATACGTACACAGTGTACATGACCTGTCTACTTATCTGCTGCTAGCTGTCAACTAAATCCCCAAAGACCGATGCAAAGCGCGCACGCCGTTGACGACCAGACAGTCATATACATATTGTCGAAATGTCGAATTATTAGGTACCTATATAACGTGAACCAGTCGGAAATGTCTTAGGAAATAGTTGGATTATTTTTTAAATTATAAAACACGCCTATATATTATTATATATTAACGTTTAAGGACATAATATATTATAATGTACCGTTTTAAATTTTTCCATAATATGCTGTTATCTGTATGTTTTGTTGTTGAATTTTAAAAATGACTCGTTTTAAGATATATTGTAGCCGCGGTATACAAAAAGATCACCGTGTGTCTACATGCGATACCAACCCGGGCGTGCATTATATTATGCAGAAGTCGAACGCTACCAAAATCACGCTCGTAATATTTATATTATATAGGTACAAAATACAAATGCAGTTTTGTACTTACCAGTTGATTTTGATAAGCCGTGACGGCCGTGAACACGGTTTCTGGAAACACGAAAGACCGGTACTTTTCCGCGTCCAAGTCGGTCACCATTCCCCTCCACTTGACCAGATGTATACGGGGCTGATATCTGTGCATCGAGTTCAAAATGATCTGCAGGGATAAAACAAAAATGACGGATCGATATTATGACTTATGAATAATACAAACGAAGACGACGCGTAAAGTGCGTGAGAAATATCGATACAATAATGGTGTTATATGTATATGGAGAGATGTGTAAATACTAAGTAGGTCAATTAGAACGCGACTTATATACGTATATATTATAGTGTCTGATATGATATAGTGTGCTGCAGATGCGACTTTGGATAATGTAACATCGTTCAATAGTTGTGAAATGGGTAAGACTCTCTCTCTCACACACACACACACACACACACACACACACACTCCGCATCGGTCTGCTGTCTGTCTAGCGACATCGCTCTCGGCGTGCCAGTACGTCTTATATATGCATGCATATATAGAGTGCTACACTGTATAGTTTCCAAAGTGAATAAAAAACCGTTTTCAGTGTAATTGATTTCGAGTGTGCGTTAAGATCATGACGTTTTAACGTCATTCCCGCCGGCTATATAGACTTGCAGCTACATTATCATTATTATTATGATCATCGAAACCGCTATACAAGCAGTCTGTCTGTTTCTATTGGCTCTCTGGAAATTCTGTTGTACATCACGAAAGCATATGATATACTTATTATGTATATCAGTATATTTATATATCTATAGAAAGATGAAACCGTGGTCGTCATAATAACTATCATCGTTGGTCTGCTTCGGCTAGAGGCTTAGCCGAGCCCAGTATACTACGACATACATATATAATATGTAGCTACCTACTTTTATCGATCTCGAATTCTTCCACTACATTACTCATATAACTGTCTAAATTTAGCTGTTTCCATTTATCTTTTAATTTTACAAGCTCGACTTATAAGTACACATGACGTCAGCCACCCCTGCCCAATCGGTGTTGAACTTTCATCAATGTGGGTTATTGGTTTATTTATAGTTAAATAGTGACGTTCAATATAGCAAAAATGTTTCTATATTATGTTTCAAACTTGGGAGTAATTAAAAACGCTCTCGACACTTATTCCGCCTGAATATAAACGTAGGTATACAACGTCAAACGAAAAAAATAAAATACCCCAACTACTATTCACCAACTCGAAGTGTGACGGGACGCGGTGGCGGTATAATGAAATATGAGTTAGGTACCTTAGTAGGTACCTATGTACAATTACACTGCACAATAATAGTGAAATAATAATATTATAATAATAATATGTAGTACCTATGTTATAATAACGTGTATCAGGTAGGTATATCATACATCGCCGCCGTCGTCGTCTAGCCCCCGTCCGTCATCGGTGGTCGTATAATGGATAACTAACCGGCAATTAACCGTTTTTTTTATAACTGACACCTTGGGCCGCCGATGATGGTATCTATCCCGTTTCTACACCACCGCACGTATTAAACTCGCGGTAAATACCCGGGTCGTACTACGGTCTTCCGCCCGCCACAGTCACCACCACCACCACCGCCGCCGCCCTACGGGTCCGAGCCGTCATAAATTTCAAATTGCCTTCGAAAAATTAAATAAAAAAAAAACAAAAACAAAATAATAATAATAATAACACGCCGACCGGCTCTACAATATTACATATTATTATTATTATTATTATTATTATTATTACTGTTGTTGTTGTTGCTGTTGCAGTACACGCCGCCGCAACAACACCATACGGCGGCGGTGGCGGTAATGGGAATAGAAAGAGAGGCAGCACCGTCAATTGTCACTCATAATTCCTGTGCTTACGCCCACTTCCTAATTATCAGGTGTTGGACAAAAGGTTTCTCTGACTTACCGCGCGACGATAATAATTATTATAAAACCGGGCCCGGACGCGCGCGCGTCTATTACCTGCAGTGGTATGTTCAAGTATAATATACCCACTCCAATGCACCTATATGAAAATGTGTGTACGTGTGTGTCGGGGAGGGGGGGGGGTAATGACGACCACTCACTCGCGAAACCAAGTCGTTTTTATTGTTGTTGAAATACTATAATCGTTTGCATTTGCGAGCGAGAATTTAGTTTTTTATTTTCCCCCCGACGACGACGACGTTATTGACCACGACTAGTAATATAACTGCTATACATGTATGAGATACGACGATATGGGCGGATAGTTAAACGGAGAGGAGAAAAAAAATATAGGCATATATGGGTAGGCTGACACGTCCGGCCAACGCCACTGCTGCTACAAGAGATGTTATTAGATATTCTTCGACGGAGATCAAAAAAGCCGCTAGCCGTCACTGCAACCAATAAACCTCCGATACTTAAGCGGAACTCGTATAATAATGCTCTATACACGATTCGCACACGGCTAGTGTTTTTTTTTCCCAAACGATTTGTACGACAACAATTATAATCATAATGATCAGTGGCGCAACTAGGATTTCCAGTGCAATGACAAAATAATTCGGTTCAATAATGTGCAGACCAAAAGTGTTATTTTCCCGGAAAAAAAAACCACTGTATTGAATAGAAAAATCTAATTTTACAGTATATATAACATTATAACATTACTTGAACGTTCAGTATTCGGTGAGGACCGATGGGCCCTAGATGATTCTGTAGTCGTACCTAAGCCTACGACTTTATGTTCGCATAATGCTGTTACTCGATAGACTGACCATAATTGTGCCATTGAAAATGATTCGGGAAGGGTTGTACGTTGTGGTAAAAAGATCGAAGTCTTAGCATCACATCTTATTGTATTATTTGTTAAATTTATAATATTACAGCAGCACTGCATTTTTCCTTCAGAATACGACGCAAAAAACGTCCGTGGGTTATCGTTGGGATAAAATAATAAAATAAACTATAGTATTGTTTTTATCGTACGGTTTCGACGGGTACCAGCCTACCAACCTATTATAGGTGCGTAATGCGATGTGTACAATAAACACGACAATATTATTATGATCGCGACACGATAACACGAAAACAGCCGTAAACGCGACGTAACGACCGTCGCGTCGTCGTCGTTGTCCCGCGCATACATAATAAAATCGTTTCCATCGATCATAAAAAATTATATATAATATAATACATACCTACGTGTAAATCAAGCGTAATCGAGCCAGCCACCTATTATAATATTATTATATTTTGTTTTTTATTATGCACCTATTCGTTGAGCGTTCATTTTGACATGCTGAACCTATGTTCTATACAGTCGTATGATATTGTTGTTTAAATCGTTTCGTTTATCGTCCGAAAACATCGTTGTTTACAATCTATCCTCGAGCTAGCAGTGTTATGTATGTTTATCTTACATTCTTACCCCTATAATGACATAATAATATTATCGTATTATTTATTCCATAACGCGTGCACTAAAGCGACGTATTATGCCACCAGGACTTGGCTGTCATCGTGTATAATACAGTTGGTAATGATTATTAACAAGTCGATAAAAAACGAGACCAAAAACGACATCGATTATAATGCAGACGAATTTAAATCGCACACTGAGAAGACCAGCAGCAACGTCCGTGGCATCAAAATATTATTCCCATCCGAAAAGAGAAACCCATATAATATTGTAATAATATATGTGTACTCTTATTGCGGTCTGCACCAACATCCAGAAGTGCCACGTCTAAATAGTAAACAGTGACTTTACGGCTTAAAATCTCCCCGTGCTTTATCGGCTGTAAATATTCGTCACGCGTCTGTCTGAGGGAGTGGGAAATAGTAAGGTTATGTTTTTTTTCTTCGAGTCGTTAAAAGTGAAGAAAAAAAATTAAAATGGAAACGAACTGAGGAAATTTGTCGACTGTCACACGACGACGAGTGTCCGCTGCGGGGGGGCGCGCACGAGCAGCATTCCACAGCGTTTGAACCGCGTGCACTCACACCAAGCTCGCATACGTATCATATAGGTAGGCACGTCGTGTGAGTGTGTGTGTGTATGTGTGTGCGTGTATGTGTGTACGGGTAACTGCTGCTGGTGGTGGTCAGACCCGCGAGACGTCGTCGTGTCCGGCGCGTTTTTCTTTTTCGTTATTATTTATTTATATATTTTTTTATTATTATTATTATTATTACTATTATTTATGTTTTAATGTATAAAAATATATATATAACGCTCGTACGCACATAAAAATAAACCGTCACTGCTGCCGCTCATAACGATCATCATATAATATGAATATATATATCTTGTGTATGTGTGCTCGCAATGGCTTTCACACTGTCACACACACACTCACACACGAATATTTCGGCTAACGATTATCCAATTAACATGACAAAAGATTTATATATATTGTTATTGTACACATACATACTCACACACACACACGCTGCATAATATGCTGCACGTGCGTCAACCAGCTTCGGTCGTCGTATCGTCTGCGCTCGCGAGTCTGCTGCAGCTCCGATCCCCTACCACGACGTGATCCACGGCTCAGGTCCTCGAGCCGCGGACGTCGTCATTTTGGGTGCAGTGTACAAAGAAATTGAGTCTTTAAAAACGCTCGCGCCTCCTTTCTAACCATTAAATCATCGGGCAGTTTAACTCTTGCGCGGAGCCGGGTCGTAATATTATAAATAATAATGTATAATAATATGCGTGAGTATTGTGTATACATACTGGGATAATGATGGCGATCCAGCTTATATTATTTACCTACACCCTATACAAGCATAATAATATGTTATAATATACCACATGTAAATATGTGTAATAATATTATAATATATTATTATTGTAACACTGCACTGACGACACACCGACACCGAGAATTATAATATTAACGAGGCAATTATGGCGACGCAAGTTTTATTTTGTGCGAGTCTCTTCGTATTTAATACGATTTTTAATTTATAGGATCATGTCATGTTCGAATTTATTCGTTAATTAGTTTTGATTAATATATTATAAAAACGTCATACCTAGATGATTCAGAAACACGACCGCTGGTCATCAGTTTTTTAAGATTTTTTATGAATAAGAACCATTTCTAATTTTATTGGCATACTTAATTCAAATATTTTCAATGCTT